TGCGCGCGCGTCGAAATCGCCCGACGGCCCTCGCGCGCGCGCCGCTCCGAGAATCCTCGGCAAAAGATTGGGCGAAGTGCGCGCGCGTCGTCTTGCGCGCGCGCCGGAATCCGTCGAAAACCTCCGGCGCCGCGCCGATTCCAAAACCGAGCGCCCGACGAACATGCAACAACGTGGTTTGGCAACATCAGTTTTCAGCAAAAAAAATAAAGCGCTCTCGCGCTCTTGCGAATTCTTAACAGAACCATCGGCTTTTCAACGTGCTTATCGGAATCTGCCAAACGGGTCTCTGGCTCCGCAATCCGAAATCATTCTCGCGCCCCGGCGCGCGTGCTGGGGTGGAGGGGGGGGGGCGCGATCCATGTCAAATAATGCTATGCGGGCCACTTTCGCGCGTCGGCCGCGCGCGCGCGTCGAACTCTCTCCGAAACCTCCATCACCGACGGGAAGACGCCGTTATCGCCTTCGGCGCGATCAGCATCGGCACCCGAACTAGCCGCGCCGCCGTCGTTTGCATCGCGGCCGTCACCGTCGCGTCTACAGTTGTCGACGTTTGAATGAAACCGCGCCCGCCCGCGTCGCCGTCTCGCGCTGAAGCGCCCGCTTGGATGCGCCTTGCGGCCTGCGCCGCCGCGGCCGCGTCGGCGGCGCCAAACAAGCAGGCCGCCGCGCTCGCGCGCCTGGGTCCGCGCGGCCGCAGAGACACGCCAGCCGACGCCAAGCGCTCGCCGCAATCGACGCCTCATGGGTTTTGCAGGCCAAGTTGCGCGTGGGATGCGCGCAAGAGCGCAGGATGTGTCGACTCGCCGGTAAAAACGAATTCCCCTAGCTCTTTTTCTTATGACGGTGAAACTGAGAATAACAATAATAATATGTGCCGCCCCCCCCCCCCCCCGAGGTTAAGGATTCATTTTTTCGCGATTCAATGTTCGCATGATTCTGGCCCAAAGTCCATCCTACCCGTGGATTCATTTTTCCCCATTTAGGCCGGCATCCCCCCCCCCCCGGCCGTCCTTTGCAAACCGTGTTTTGCGCGCATTCGTTTATCATAAATCATAAGTTTTCAAGAGCCCCTGGCCAAAAATGGGACGCCGTGCACGCGCGCGCTCGTCGCGTGCCGTAGTAGTTCAAGATCCTTCGGTGCAGGAGAGATGTCATAGCCGAGCGTCCAGCAAACATTCTATAAAACAGCCATGGTTTCGCAACGCGGATTTAAAACCAAAAAAGACATGTTCGCGCGCGCTCTTGCGAAATCTTCAGACAACCATGCGTTTTCAAAATTTTCAGAACGCATTACCAAGCGGGCTTCGCGCGCGCATGTCGAAATCGTTCGAACGCCCATGCGCGCGTGCCGTCGCGGGAATCCTCTACGAAAAGCTGCGCGAAGTGCGCGCGCGTCGTCGCGCGCGCATGCCGGAATTATTCAAAAACTTGCGGTGTCGGAAGTATCTCAAAATTGAGTTTCCAAGAACTCTTTATCTATATATTGAAAAAGTTTCGCAACGCGGGTGTGCAACAAAAGCGCGCGCGCGGTCTTGCGAAACTCAAGAAAACCGTGATTGATCAACATGTTCACCATATGCTACCACGCGGGCTTCTCGCGCGCGCGCATGTCGAAATCGTTCGAACGCCCTTGCGCGCGCGCTGGGGCGGCATGATCCGCACCAAATAGTACCATGCGAGGCACTATCGCGCGTCTGCCGCGCGCGCATTTCGAATTCCTTTGAAAACCTTCATCGCCGACGCGAAGACGCCGTCATCGTCGTCGGCGCGATCGGCATCTGCGCCGTCAGTGGCCGCGCTGTCGTCGCCGTCAAAATCGTCACAAACATCGCTACTATCATCGTCATCGCATCTAAAATTGTTGACGTTGCCATGATACCGCGCCCGCCCAAGTCGCCGACTCGCACTCAAGTGCCCGCTGGGATGAGCCCAGCGGTCAGCGCCGCCGCGGCCGCGTCGGCGGCGCCAAACTAGCAGGCCGTAGCGCTCGCGTGCTTGTGTCCGCGCGGCCGCAGAGATGCACCAGCCAACGCCAAGCACTCATCGCAATCGCCGCCGCGTGAAGTTTGCAAACCAAGTGGCGGGTCGGTGGGTGGGACGTTTGCGCGAGCAGTGGAGCGGACCACTCATTGCGAACAGACATGGGTTGTCCTTACTAAAAAGGAGATCGGGTCTACCACCCTCCTCCCCCGGACTTAACGATTCCCTTTTTCCGTATGGCAATTTGCATATGATTCTGCCCCATCGTCATCCTAAATCTGAATTTACACAATCCCAGGGGGGCCGGCATCGCTCCCCCCCGCCTTTTTTTTCAACACACATTACGCGCGCGCATTCGTTAATCAAAAATCATACGTTTTCGAGAAACCCTTTGCAACATATAGGACGAAGTGCACACGCGCGCGTTGTCGAGCGCGCGTGCCGAAATCCTGCAAACAAATGCGGTTTCGGAAGGATTTCAAAATCGAGTGTCCAAAACATATGAAAAAAAAAAAAACGCAAGGGTTTCGCAACACGGAGTTTGAAACTGACAGAAAAGTGCGCGCGCGTTCCTGCGAATTCTTAAGAAAACCATGTGTTTTGTTTCCAACATCTGCATAACCTGCTACCAAACGGGCTTCGCGCGCGCGCAAAGCGATATCGTCCGAACGCCTTTGCGCGCGTGTCGTCGCTAGAATCCCTTGCAAAACGAGAAACGAAGCGCACACACGCGCATCGTCGCGCGCGCATGCCGAAATCCTTCAAGAACGCGTGGTTTCGGAAGGAATGCAAAACCGACTGTCCAAACGAACATATAAAACCTCCTGGTTTCGCAACGCGGAGTGTCAACAAAAACGTGCGCGCGTTCTTGCGAATTCGTAGGAAAACCATAAATTGTTCAACGTTGTCATAAACTGCTACCACATGGGCTTCGCGCGCGCGCATGTCGAAGTCGTTCGAGCGCCCTTGCGCGCGTCTTGGGCCGGCACGATGCGGGTCAAATAATACCATGCGAGCCACTTTCCCGCGTCTGCCGCGCGCGCACGTCGAATTCTTTCGAAAACCTTCATCACCGACGCGAAGACGCCGTCATCGTCGTCGGCGTCATCACCCTGTCTTTCCTCGTCGTCGCCGTCGTCGTCCTCTTTGGCGCCGTCGTCGTTTCCGTCGTTGTCGCCGTGGTCGTCCTTCCTCCTCCTTCGTCGTCGTCGTCTGTCGTCGGCGTCTCGTCGTCGTCCCTCCTATTTCGTCACCGTCGTCGTCGTCGTCGTCGTCTTCGTCGTCGTCGTCGACGACGTCGCCTTCGTCGTCGTCGTCGGCGTCGCCGTCGTCGTCGGCGTCGGCGTCGGCGTCGTCGTCGTCGTCGGCGTCATCGTCGTCTTCGTCGTTGTCGGCGTCGTCGTCGTCGGTGTCGTCGTCGTCGTCGACGTCGTCGTCGTCGTCTCAGTCGTCGGAGTCGTCGTCGTCGTCGTAGTCGTCGTCGGCGTCGTCGTCGTCTTCGTCGTCGTCGTCGGCGTCGTCGTCGTTGTCGTCGTCGTCGTCGGCGTCGGCTTCGTCGTCGTCGTCGTCATCGTCGTCGTCGTCGGCGTCGGCGTCGTCGTCGGTGTCGTCGTCGTCGTCGTCGTCGATGTTGTCGTCGTCGTCGAAGTCGTCGGAGTCGTCGTCAATGTCGTCGTAGTCGTCGTCGTCGGCGTCGTCGGCGTCGCTGTCGTCGGCGTCGGTGTCGCTGCCAAGTGCAATTTGGTACCTACCGTCACGGTCTGAAGAGGTCTTGCGACCAAGTTGCGGGTGGGAGGGTGGGTTGTTTGCACGAGCAGTGGAGAGGACAGCATCAAGACAGTCAAAGTAGATTGCATCACATAGATTACACCTCACAGATTCGACCGCGTAGACTGCACAACATATACTGCACTCCAGAGATCGCACCGCGTAGATTGCACCACAGCTTTTTGTGTCTCACATATCGCACAACATATATTGCTAAATATGTATAATGTCCGTTCCGCGCTGGCTGATCTGTATATATATATAAGCATATACATACATAAATATAGATCGGGAGGTGTGTATATATAGATACATATACACATCGTGGTCGCATCACCCTTCGACACCGCCGTCGCGCCCTAGGCCTCTGTCGACTCGCAAACGTCGCGCTCAAGGTTTTTCCGACAGAGCTTTCGGCAAGGAGACGTTTCGGGCAGCCATCAACAACAGCTCGGGGCGAGAAACAGGATCCATGGGCAACGGGCCAAGAGTTCCAAGGGCAATCGACAAGGAGAGGTCGGAGGGCCGGGGTCTGGGGACGGAAATTACTCCAGCCGGATCGATCCGCGTGCGGGGCCACAAACGGAGCACAAATGCCCAGCATGCGTTTTTTGCTAGCGTTGTCGAGACGCGAGGGGGATTCCTCCTTCCAGTTGGTTTTCGGACCGAAATTTGGGGCACAGGCGGCCGTTCGGAACAGTTCAGCAACGCCCCCTAGAAAATAACACATCTGCTGGAGTACAGAGGGTCGAGACGGCGACGACGACGACGACGACGACGACGGCGGCGACGGCGGCGACGACGACGATGACGACGATGACGGCGATGACGACGACGACGACGGCGACGACGACGGCGACAGCGACGACGACGACGACGAAGGCGACGCCGACGACGACGGCGACGGCGACGGCGACGGCGACGGCGCGGCGACGGTGGCGGCAGCGGCCCTAGCCGTGGCGACGGCGACGGCGACTGCAGCGGCGACGACGGCGACCTCGCCTCCGACGGCCCCCCGCGGGTCTCTGAAGGCCTCCGGCCTCCGAGAGGGCCGAGGCGACGACGCCAGCGGCGGCGACGACATCCGACGGCTGCGACGGCGCCCTTGGCGGCGACGGCGGCGGCGGCGACGACGACGACGACGACGACGACGACGACGACGATGACGACGACGGCAGCGACGGCGATGCCGGCGGGAGCAGCCCGCGCCGGCGGCGGCCCGCGGCGGCCGCCGCTCCGCCGCGACGGAGGACCTCGCGGGGGAAGACTCCGCGCCGCCCTGGGCATGGGAGGCCTCCTGGGGCGCGGCGCCGGGCCGCGGGCAGGGCTGCGGGCCCGAGGCGCCGGGGCCGCCCCGGGGCGACGCCGCGGGAGCGAGCTCGGGAGAGGCACTGCGGAGGGGGCGGCCCTCGGAGGGAAGGAGGAGGAGGAGGAGGAGGAGGAGGAGGAAGCCATTTGGCCTCTTGCGGGCCAGCCGATCCCGATCGATCCATCGGGGTCGGTCGGCGCCTGCCGCCCGATCGATCGCGGTGGCAGGGCGCATCGCGCATCGGCCAGCCCCCGAGGCCGGGCTCACGCGCGCCGCGCGCCATCATCTGCGGCAGGGAGCCACCCGTGCCTCCCTGCTCCCTGCCGCAGGCCGCGGCGCTTGCGGCCGCGCTGCGGCCCACCCCCCCAGCGGCGGGACGCCGCGACACCGTCGAGGAGGAGTTCCAGAGGGAGCTGCCCACCGCCGCGAGAGGCAGCAGAGAGCCCAGGACAGGCTCCTGCTCCGCTTGCGAGCCGCGGCCGAGCGCCTGGCCACCCACCACTCTGCCCAGCCAACGATGGCTCGTGACGGGAAGGGCAGAGGCAGTGGTGGCCGCAGCGGCAAGGGCCAGGCTCAGGAGGAGGCAGCATCGGCATCGGAACCACCATGGCGCCAGGAGCGCTGGCAAGGCGCGAGCTGGCGAGATCAGCACTGGAGCGCTGCGCCGGCAGGAGAGGACGCGCCCTGGCGCAGGGAGCCGTCGCGGCCACGCCGTGCTGGCCAGGCCAGTCCTCACCCCTGGCAGCAGCAGCAGCAGCAGCAGCAGCCCAGTCAGCACCCCTGGCAGCAGCAGCAGCAGCAGCCCAGGGCGAGCAAGGGCGGCCAGGCCAGCTCCAGCAAAGCAGATCAACGAGCACAGAAGGTAATCGACTCAGTGGCGGCCTGCACGCTGGACCAGGCCACCACCCACCCAAAGTGGCAGGCGCCCCCGGCCGACCGCGCAGGCATCCAGAAGTTCTTGAGCACCGCCGATCAGAGGCTGAGGAAGCTGGGCGACCTGATCATTGCCAAGCAGGCCGCGGGGGACAGCACTGAAGAGCAGTTACGGGAGATCGCGGTCATCAAGTATCAGAAGCTGGTCACGAGAAGGCCGAACGACCAGCTGCAGGTGCTCAGCAAGAGGCGCAAGGCCGTCAAACTCGAAGTCATCGCCCTTGAAGCCAAGTCGAACGAGCTGCGGGACGACCTCAAGGCCAAGCAGCAGGAGTTGAGGCAGCTCGAGTCCAACATCGCCGACGTGAGGGCCGTGCTTGCCGACGGCGGCGCGGCGGACGACGAGGGCGACTGGGACACGGACGGGTTCGGCTTGGCACCGAGCTGGGATGCTTTCCACAAGGCTGTGATCGACAGGCGCCTGAACAGCGAAGCACCTGGTGACGGACTCCCAGCTTGGCCATCAGGAGTGGTAGGGCAATCGCCACGACCAAGAGCCAGCTCGGCAGGCAGCGCAACCAGAGGCTTCGCAGATCAGGTGGCCAAGGCAAATGCGGAGCGGGCCCACCAGCAGCAGCGCCATGCCGAAGCCGAGCAAGAGTTCGCTGCCGAACTGGCGGAAGTAAGGAGGGTTGCTCGCGAACAAGCACTACGCCACAATGGCGAGCAGGCGAAACTGAGGCTGGCACTCAAGGAGGAGTCAGAGCAGCTGCAGCGCATCACCGCAGCGGAGAGCGCAGCCCAGCAGCAGCAACAGCAGCAACACAAGGCCCTCCGACATGAGATCAAGAGGCAACAATACGAGCAGCTCGAGTTCGCGACGCAGATGGAGGCCAGAATAATCAGCCATGACACAGCCTTCACTCATGCCAAGGCAGAGGCGGAAGCCGCGACACACCGGGCAAATCACCTGCATGAGCAGCTCGAGCAAGTACGAGCGGAGCACCTGGAGAAGCCGCAACCCCAGGACGGCGCCTACCAAGACCTGATGAGGGCAAGAGCCGAGGCACAAGAGTCACTGCGACGGGCCCAGCATGAGAGCGCCCAAGCGACAACTGCAGCGGGTAATCTCAAGCAGCAGCTCGCCAGGCAGGAGCTGGTCATGGAAGAGAAGCTCCAGGAGGCCAAAAAGAACCACGCCCTCGAGATAGAAGCTGCCGCCGAAGCAGCCAGGGTCCAGGCAATCGCCCAGGCTCAAGTGGTTGCCAACGCCAAGGGAAAAGGGGCCCTCCCGCCGGCAGAGGCGGCCAGGCTGCAAGGGATCGTCCAGACAGCAGCACGGCAGCAGGAGAGGCTCAAGCAGACCAAAAACGAGCTCGAGGCAGCTGAAGCCCGCATACACGAGCTACAGCAGTACTCCAAGCTTGAGGCGGGCGCTGCGCAGCGGGCAGCACAGGTGGCATATCATGAAGCAGCGGAGCTGAGAAGCGCCAACAAGGAGCGGCAAGTCCCGCATGAGGTGCAGGCTTTGCAGTTCGCCCTGCTAAGGACCAGAGCAGAGGAGGAGGAGATCGCGAAGGCCAGCCTGAAGGACAAGGAGGTAATGCGGGCAGAGCTCGAAGGCAGTGTTGAGGGAATAAGGGCGAGTCTCACCCGCCAAGTCATGATAGAAGAGGCGAACGCACATGACTTGCAGCTGCACACAGAGAGCCTGCGACAGGAACTGAGCAGCTACGCGGTGCAGCTGAGCGAGCAAAAGTCCAACGCAGAGGTGCAGGAGCAGGCGCTCGAGGAGGAGCTCGCCCAGGCCCTCACCTTCAGGATCGCCAGCATGGAGGAGGCCTCCGCCATGGAAGACTTCGCCAGCCAGCAGAGGACGGGCAGGGAGGAGGCTATCCACCTTGCGCTGCAAGAAAGCCTCCAGCGCTCCAGCATGCTGCACACCGAGCTAGACGCCATCGCAAAGAAGGAGCAGCAGGGCGCGTCGGAGACAGAGGAGCTTAAGCTGAGGATGCAGAGCCTGGAAGCCATCGCAGCCAGCAGGGAACGCGAACGCAAGGCCATGGTCAACCTGTACGCCGAGATGAGGCAATACGGACAGGAGGGCTACGACTTCACCAAGAGGGCAGCTCATCATCTCGTCCAAGGGGGCCACCTCCCAACGTCCCAAGAGTCCATGGACGACTACCAGGAGGCCGCCGACCTGTACGAGGAAGCCAGAGGAGCAGCCGAGGCAGCGGCCGCCACAGTCGAGCCCCCTGTTGCGACCTTCCAAATTGGTGCAGCTGAAGAGCGCCCAGCCAACCGGGGCCGCAGGCAGAGCAGCCCCTCCCCTCGGAGGCCCGCATCAAATAGGTCAGCCAGGTCAGCAACCCGCCAGACCGACGAAGGCGAGGCCCTCCTCACAGAGCGTGACAGGTCCAGGAGCCCCGACAGGCCAGACCCGCACGAGGAGGCAGAAAGATACGAGCGCGAACAAGATGAGTTGCACAGACAAGCTGCTGAGGAGAAAGCACAATGGGAAGCCGTACAGATGGAGGAGGAGCTGGAGTCCGTAGTGAGGGACCACGAGGCGAAGGAGATCCAAAGGCGCTACTACGAGGAGGCCCCCCTGACCCAGTTCGGCACAGCGGGCACGCAGGACTCACGAGCGGAGGACGACGGCTCGGAGCACGCGCCGATGATCTACCCCGCCAGGTGGCCGCCCTGGAGCCAGGATCACCCCGCACCCGATGAGAGCGACGAGATGAGGGGGATCACGCAGCACGAGGCAGACACAGACCTGGCATCCACGTCAAGGGCTAGCTCGATACCAGCAGAGCAAGGAGACCCTCCCACCCCGACAGCATCTCAGGTAATCCTCATTCCAGCATCGCCAGCGCCACTCAGCGAGATGTCACTCACGCCCACAGTTCCATTCGGGCATGAGGAGCAGCGCGTCCACGGTGGTGGAGAGGGAGCCGGCAGCTTCGTATTGACCCCTCCCCCTGCGTCCCAGCAGAACGCGGAGGCGGCAGGGGCCAGCATCGAGAGGCAGTATGAGGGCATCGACATCATGACGCGCCAGCACACCTCAGCCGCCGCCGCAGCTGCAGCCCTCGAAGAGGCGTTCGGTCCAGTGCCCGCATTTCCAGGAGAAGACATCAGCCAGGCCCACAAGGGTCAGCGGGTAGACTCTGGAGAGTCAGGCATAGCCCGTTTTCGTGGCCGAGTGGCCCGCAGGAGGGACGAGACAAGGGGCACAGCAACCCCCTCCCCTCCTGCAACTCCTGGAGCCGAGGTGCAGGCAGCAGCAGCGCCCGCCGAATCCCCCCGAGGGGGGGAGGGGGCCTAGCAGCGCCGCCAGGCTTCAGGTTATGCATGACAGAATTCAGCGCCAGGAGGCGGCCGATGAGTCCAACAGGGCAGAGCACGACGGATGTGGGACTTCGTCGCGCTCTCCGATCAGTTCGACAGCATCGATCTCCTGGGCAGCATCGGGGAGAGCAGCTGGGGCCCAAAGCCCGCAGCACGGCAGTGGGGTCCTCCACTACGATGCTCGACCTACCCACCACCAGAGGCTTGACAGCACGGCGGGCCCTGGAGGTAATTGCGACAGCCGTCTTGTAACAAATGGACCAGCGGAGATTCCGACAATCTCGCGCACCAGATCAGGTACTCCCAGGAGTCCAGGGTCTCGAGGGGCCACGACTCCAAACAGATGTGATACCGCAACGGGCATCGGCAGTGGGGTTGCCACTCCCAATCGCAGCAGCCAGCATCAGCAGCGGTATAAGTCACCTGGGTCTCGAGGGGCCAATGTGACACCACCACGGCCGACACGAGGGCCGCCCGCCGCGTCTCGAGGGGCGCTAGGCGGCAACCAAGGCGGCCCACTACCAGGGAGGAGTGAGGCATCCGCCAATCTGTCAGCACTCCAGGTCACAAGCCACCAAGATGGCTGCAAGGATGCGTTACCGGCTGCCCTTGCAATCAGTGTGCAACCCTCCGCCATTCGAGTCCATGAGATCGAGAACGTGGAAAGGACCTTTCTCGACGGTCAAAACTCGGCTGGCAGCGAGGCAGAGGATGGCATGGAGCAGTGCTACGAGAACTGGAGGCAAGCGCGCGCAGTTGCAGCCTTCCGAACAGCCCAGCGGAGTGCACGCCGCGCACGGC